ACCAGGCAGTCTGAAGACTGTCTCCCAATCCACTCTCTAAACACTGGGAGGAGTGAGGAAGCAGACAGGCACCCTTTTCACTGGCCAACAGTTAACTGAAAGTTCAAATTTTGCACTTTCCCTGCCTCCCACATGGGTTTTTTTTCAGTTCTTAACTCAAATCTAAGTATGTAAGTCAAGTCAATATTTTCCTATGAGAGCGGTTCTTAAGTCAAAATGTTCTTAACTCAAGCCGTTCTTAAGTCAAGACCCCACTGTATGTGAGGAGGGAAATCTAAAAAAAATTCCCTAATGAGGCATGCATATCCCATTGTTATGCAGATCAGCCTTGACTGACATAGCTTCCCTCCCACCCCACAGAAATAAAGACTCACGTCTACAGTTGGGGAAACCCCAGTATCCAGTGGCACAACGGGAGCAGTCTCGCCCAATGACATTTGATTTGCAAGCACACTGGCCACCAAACGGCTCACACTGGCTTCGGACGGCACCTGCCTCGTGGCAGTGGCAAGGTTTGGCTCCATTGTTGTAAAAGAGAGAGATCGAGATGGCAGAATCCTGACAGAACTTGGACGATGTTACGGGGCTGCAGAGAGATGGGCAAAGATTTGCAAGGGGTCTCACGGGAGTAGACTGTAGATTTCATTGATAAATTAAAATACACAGTCTATCCGACTTTGCAATTTCTTTTCACAGTTAGAAAGCTAGAAGCAGGGAGAAATGAAGTCTGAGAGTTTGAGAGCAATAAGAAGTTAGTTTACCCTGATTGCACAACAATAGTCATAATTTTCATCTAGGCAGCCAAGTTCTACAGCTAGAGAATACACAGAATTGCCGAAACAAAGGATGGCTGAAAACACTGGAAATTAAGGACAGGCATTACTTAAGAAAGTAAAGGAACTTTATAAAGGAGTTTTAAAATGCAACTGCATTGAACATGCTAGATAATTTAGTTTCAGATCAACACTCAGAACTGCTACTAATATTTTGGTTAAATAAAATTCCAGATGTATCAAACTCCACAGAGAACAAGAAAGAGATTAGGTTCCCTTGTTTACGGGACTGCATTTTGAATCTCACTTGATATAGAAGCCATTGACTCCACAGGTGCTGATGAAATCATAAGATTTGTCCAAGGGCTCCTCTGAAAGGTAGCTAGAGCCGTAACTGTCTTCAGGAACGACAATGACATAATCCTGCAATTAGGGAAACAAATTCAAATGGTAAATAAATGCTCCCTTACAACTTTGCCACCTGGGTAAAAGCAATAACGATTTCCAATAAAAAATTTCTGACTGTATCTAGAGATTAGCAATTTACTACACTGTTTACAATTGGAGGGAAAGGTAAACATCTGAGAAAAATGTAAGCATAGGGAGGCATCAGACACATACATGCAACACGCCACATTGGATACCAGCAACAGAGGTACTGGGCACCACACATCAAAGGGCAGCAACAAGTAGTAGTGTCGTTTGCAGCACCACCTCAGAACAGATGAGGACAACATGGATTTTCCTCCATAGATTCAAACTTGTTTGGCTGGGTGAGCACTTAAAATATTTTTCAAATGAGTTCAGTAAAGTAATAATATTCAGTAATAGTAATAATTCTTTTAGACCAGATGGACAGGGTATAAATCAATCAAACAAACAAACAAACAAACAAACACACAAACAAACAAAATGTTTAAAGGAGTAGTGTAGTTTGCTGCACCACCTCAGAACAGATGAGGACAACATGGATTTTCCTCCATAGATTCAAACTTGTTTGGTTGGGTGAGCACTTAAAATATTTTTCACATGAGTTGAGTAATATGTTTAAAGACCAAGAAACGTATTTTTTACTTTCATTTATTTTTACTTTTAAGAACTTTGGTATTAGAGTTTTACTCTCTGCCTTTTAAGGCTATAAGATCCTATATTTGTGGACTGAATATGATTTAAGTTCTTGTCTGTAACTGTGATAGCTAAAGGTTTTTTTTTCTTAAATTCTGCCTGCAGCTTTTCACAACTTGCAAGAATGGATTCCTGTTCTAAGTATTTACACCTACAGTTTTTCACAGCTGTAAGACTAATTTCTATCTAGCTGAATTGGACCTGTAACTTTTCTTAAAGTTACCGGTTTTCAACAACATTGCTTGGAATTATTCCAGCACTGAAACTCAAATGAACTTTTATTTGATTGGAAGTTGTTACCTGTTTTCCTACTAGAATGAACCCTTTCAGGGATAAATGGCAGCTACTATGAACACATGCTTCTGATTTTTCCTAGAGGTCTCTAAAGATCTATAGGGCTCTTAGGAGAGGCATCAGACTTTCTGACTTGACACCGGGATTATTCAATTTTCCATTTATGAGCCCCACTAACTGTCCATGCCAGTATGGTTTTTGTATGTAACGAAGAAGCTTGTGCTCCCCATTTCTTTCAATTATTCATACCATGCTATTCTGTGTCTTGCAAAGTACAATGACTAGATGGAACCAAGACTTTGTCTAGGGATGAGCAATCAGCAACACTTTAGCCATATATGGCCCCCAGGCTGTTCTCCTGAAAAATAGGTTAGGCATATGCCAGAGTGATGTGTCTCCCAGGATCCCACTCATTGTAGAGGAACAGGGATTAGGACAAAAGGGAAGGCAGAGGAAGAGAAAGAGAAAGAGGGTGTTGTCATGCTTCTTTATACATCTTGTCCTATCCACTTGCTAGCTTCAACTTTCCCCCGTGAGCACATGAAAAATGCCCCTCATCAATATACGTAGAAAGGTTGAACAGCCATGCTTCGCTGCCTTCCATTTGCAAGGCAATTCCAACTTCACCTACAAAACTGAATGCTGCAAAGTGTCCTGAAGTTTTGTTAGAAGAGGAAAGGGCTTAATAACTCCCTGAATGGTTGTCAGAAAGATTTACATTCTACTTAGCATACAAACTGCGGAGAATATATTTCAAGTTTTTTTTTTATTAGTCGCTACAGTAATCCTCAAATATGTAACAAGAGATTTTTAAGACAGGAACATACCAACCAAAGATGTCGGTCCTCTGGTACACGAATGATCACACTCAGATCATTGTCTGTAACATCCAGGACAATCTGGTTCTCTGCAACCATGAGACTCCGGCAGCCATATCCGTGTGGGCAGAAAGTAGCATTAGCTTGTCCTAAAAATCCAGAAGGTACAGGCCAACTTTTAAGCTTATCTTGTTTCGCTTTCATATATTAACCACATTTCCCTATGGCAGCAGTCACTTCTTGCAATCTTTATATTCCACAGGAAACTTAACAAAAACCAGCAGAACTAATGTCATCTATCTATGCAGCTGTCTCCAAGCCACTAAGGCTTACGCCACACTAAACCCGATCCATCTTTAAGATTCCAACCAAAACTTTGTTCAGTCCTCAAGACTCTTTTGTATATGCTTTCTGTGCTGCATAAGTCGAAAAGTTCGTATGTAGAACTGTTTGTAAGTCAAGACCCCGCTGTACAATTCAGTTCATTCTTAAAAACTATTTAACCACCCAGACAGTGTAGGAAATGTTCCTCTTCTGTCTGGCTATTTCAAGATACAATTCAGTTCATTCTTTAAAACTATTTAACCACCTGATAAAAGAGCTCCGTCACAAATCTGATGTCCACTTACCTTGCCAAATCCGTCCACCATTGATCAACACTTCCACAGGGAATGTTGGGTGACTGGGCTGGTAGCAGTGCAGAATAAAGGCATAGCGTCCTAGACTCTGGATGTACCCATTTAATATAATGGCAGTCTAAAAACAAAACACAAGGGGCATAATCCAAATATTACTCTTTATTTTGTTATTTGGGCCAGCACCTTCTGTTCCTCTGGCTCAGGATGGGGTCTGGAGCTTCCCAGACTGGGAATACCTACCTGGGGTGCTTTTAGCAGAGTAAGCTCTGCAGAAGAATCTAACAAGGTTGGAGGCCGTAGTGATGATGGGTGCGGGATCCCTGCTGGGGGGACACTAAAGGCATGAATCAGGGGGAAGCCTGGAGCGAGCGGCAGGATTTGCCCTTCTTCAAGGACAATTGACTGTGAAACCTTCTGATACCTTGACGGGACACAGGAACTACTGTTGGGAAAAAAATGCTAAGTTTATTTTCTTTTAATTTTATTATATTAAAGCATAAACCAAACCAAAACCATTTGTACATTGCATCACAATAATTAATTCTCTTAAAAATATTACTTCGCCCGTGCAACCTTTACCCTTGGGCTAGGATCGCTTTTGATATTCTTACATTTCATCCCACCCAATTTTTCTCCAGAAACATACTGATTCTTCTCTTGGCATATATGCTTCCATTTCTTAAACACATATTCCAGAAATAAATTCCATATATATTTTTAAAAGCCATTGCTTTTTGATAAGCCTCTTCTTAATTTCATTTCACAAGTCAGTTTATCATTCATTGCCATAGCCCACATTTCTCTGTACCATTCCTCAATATTAATTTTGTTCTCATTCTTCTTATTCTTTGCAAATAATAACTTTGCCACTGTAAACATTATAAGAATTTTTGTTGTGGGGGTTTTTTTTGGGCTCTTTGGCCATGTTCTGAAGGTTATTCATGGGAAAGAATTCATCTTTGAATTGATTGCATTGATTTTATTGGAGCTGCATCTGCCAGATCTTTAGCATCCATTAATAATCAGAATGTCTCCTATCTCCCATTGTTGGAATCCTTCTTCTTCTATGCAACAGTACAACATTTCAGCTCTCATAGCCTGGGGAAAATTCTGGGGAGAAGACCGATAGTCATGTGAAAAAGAAAATACACCCTCTTTGAATTTCTATGGTTTTACCTATCGGGACATAAGAAAAACCACCTGGTCCTTAGTAGGTCTGAAAATGAGGTAAACACAACCTCAGATGAACAACAACACATGACATACTACACCGTGTCAAAATGGAGAAGTCATGTGTGGGAAAACTGAGTATACTTTGTGAGTTAATAGCTTGTAGAATCACATTTAGCAGCAACAACTTAATCATTTTCTTTATGACTTTATCAGTCTCTGACAATAGTGTTGGAGGAATTTCGGCCCACTCCATATACATTGACTGCATATGGAAGAGCAGGAGTTTATAAAGGCAAGAAAATGATCTGAAACTTTGAACCATTTCTCCGTGAGGAAAGGTTTCAACGCTTGGGACTTCTTAGATTGGGTGGGGTGTGGGGAGTGTATAAGCAGGAGGAACATATCTAAATATACAGTCTATGAAACACAGTAATAGAATTTGGGCGGATGGCCCACTCCATATACATTGACTGCATATGTAACTTGAGCCCATTGTTACATCTTCTGCCCTCTAGGATGATAAATAATAGGATCCTGCCCCTCCCCTATATGACTACTTCCAAGTATTTGAAAAGTGCTAACATATCCCCCCACAGTCTTCTTTTTTCAAGGCTAAAAATGTCCAGTTCTTTCAATGTTTTGAATGGACTTACCTGTTCGGTGAGAATATTCCATGGGTGCTAATGCAATGTACCTTTGGCTCCACAAATTCCATAGTGAACTGTTCATAAGGGATTAGATATACTTTGTACTAAAAGTAAAGAGGAAGGAAAGAAGTGAAAATCACTGTTGTTTTCCCCTAGTAGGAAAATCTAAACCAGTACAAATATTTTTTTGTAAAACTTTTTTTTTTAAATGTGCTTTGCTGTTCTGTTGATCACAATAAAGATCTCTCTCCTTTTAAACCCTTTAGACCAGATTATAACTCTCATTTGAAATTTATGCCCTAAACATCAGAGGCACGGACAAAAGATCACATATGTTTTCTCATCACAAAAGCAGGAGCTGGAATCTACACTGTATCCCTACAATAGGTGTTAAAGTGCTTATACAAAAACGATACTTGCATTAGCAATTGGTCAATATTAGCTTGCCCCTGTTGATATTAGTGGCGAATATTAGCAAGCTTCAGAGACCTTTGCCTTTATTTTCAATTAATCAGACACAGGCCAACTGAGAAGCCAGGTTTGCCTTTTCATAATATATGTATTTCTAATGAACGTTCTAGTAAAGGATTAATTGCCAACGAGGTGTTGTTGTTTTTTAATTAAATTCAGCATTTAGTTGTTTCCTTGAAACTAAAGCTACATAAATTTGATGCAAACTAGAATATGAGCTAAACTATAGTATAGTGTTTCCCAAGGTGGGGGTTGTGACCTCCCACAGGGTCACAAAGTGTTTTCTCAGGTGTTACAGGTGACTTTATATGTGTCCTGCCCTTGTTAAATCATTTCTTCCTTGACCCTTCACAGCAGGATATTAAAGTTAGTGTGTATATGTATGTATAAGAAACAGGCCCTTTGGAGAGGAGAGAGAAGCCTCTACTTTCTGAGAAGGGATGACTTTACCCCAATTAAAAATGCCTTATGCAAATGTGGGGGAGGGTGTTGGAGATTACTTGACTATTATAAAAGGGGGTCGTGACCTGAAAAAGGTTGGGAACCACTGCTGTAGTAGAAGAGAGAAACCAACTCCCTTCTAAGTAAGGAAAGTGTGGGAAGAATAAGTGGAAGTAGGAGCAATGGGAAAGAACGTTTCAAGTATGTTGATTTCTCCAGTGCAGAAGTCGTTTTTCACGGTGACTGCTTTCAGGGAGCAAAGGAAAACTTTTTCTACTATTGGACTTAGGTTGGAAGTCAAGAATCCATTTCACATCTCATCTTAGTTCCTTGAATCAAATTCGGGGTCCAAAGTTCTGTCTCTAAACATAGCTCTCCCTCTACCATGGAATATTTACGCTCCTTGGACACACTCTGCTTCAAAGGCTTACCAGGAAGAAATGGGCCCGATCGGCAGTGAATCGAATCGTAGCATCTGTGCCCAATTCAAAAGCTGCCAAGCGATTTACTGAGTCTAAAGCTATCCCACGACAAAGGAAACTGCAAGACAAAAGCGTTGGTCAAGCTCAAGGATGTCGTTAACTCTGCCAAATAAGTTTTTTTTCTTTCCTTTGTGGCTCTAATATGGTGCCCTTATAACCTTTTGAATCACGTTTGTGAGTAATGGCAAGGGATGCTTCCTAAGGATATCCCGGGGACTCGTTTCCTATTGTTAAGGTCAGAGTCTGAACACAGATTTGCAGAAAGACGTTCCCAGACAATGTCATCCATCTGTCACTTACAAACACTGTCTGGTTGTTTAAGTTGGGCACCAGAACTCAGGATGTTCACACTATTTTCATCTCAGCCATGCCCTGTTCTGAGGATGCAGTCTCTTGGCCTGAATTTCTGGCACCGACATGTACTGTACTGAGAATCCAAATAGTTCCTGCCTGTCACCCGACTGCAGTAAATCCTAACGCAGTCTTACCCATTGGGTGGAAAAAGTGCATTAAACACATACGAATTCACCGCTTCTCCGGGCCAACAAAAGTGATACCATATAGAGACCTTCTATTCTGATTGCTGAGATCACTGTCGTGCTGAGAATTACTAAGATTTCTAAGATTTATTTTCCCCCACAGAGCCTCCAGCAGAAACCATAAGAAGAATGCTGTGGCCCTAATCTCTCCCACTCTTTTGATATGCCTGTTTTGAAGCAGAAAATAGGTCAGTAATGCCCAACAGATCCTATTTTTAGTTGTACCGTAACTGAGAAAGCTTAAGCAGTTATTCTCAGTTTAGGAAGGGCTACTACAAATTCATAAAATTACACCTAAAATATAAAGAGAAAAAGGAAATGGCAGAAAGGATGTTTTCACAGACTGTGCAATATATAAAGAATGGGATACATTCCACTTTTAGGTACCCATTTTCTCATTTCTTATACCTGGAAACATACCTGTACTTGCAAGTGTATAAACCAAGAGTGCCCTGCTGAACCGCAAGCTGTGGTGAGTTCACTGCTACATGGATTGTCTGCGGAGCATCTTCATTGGCGTATCCCACCAGAACTATGTATCTCCCTGGCTGAGATACAGCAACCCGCAGCTGTACTTCGATCTACACACAGGAAAACGCAGGGTTAACAATATAAACACCACTAAACTGGTCTCTTATTTTAAAAAACAGCAGATGCAATGGGATTGTACCAGCAGCTCCTCCCTTCATTCTCCATCATTGAGTGACTTGTTTTCTCGACCAGGAGAGATGGGAAAGCTCAAGAGACAGCCAAATGCACAGGTAGACGTGCTTGCACATAGCACCTTTAATCTGTGTGTCTGCAGAGGACTATGCCCAGGTCTAGATGTCTAGACCTCTTCTTTGAAACATAATCTATAGGAGGTCATACACCAGTTACTTCTTTACATGGTATCTTCCTCCAGGTACTGTACATCTTTTTCAAAGACTTTTGGTGAGGGAAGAGCCACAGAAGACATGAAAATTTAACTGAAATGCATGTAACTTTTGCATCAAAAATAATGTCCAGAAGCAGAATGGACATTAATTTCCAGCTCAAAAATGTTTGCTGACTTTGAATCCATGGCAATGTGAATGTTTCCATGTAATCCACTCCAAAGATACTGATGTGGAAGGTAAAGATGTGTCTGAATCAGTGGAACGGTAGAATCCTATATTCATTCAGAAGTTAAGTCCCACTGAGTTCTACAGGGCTTACGTCACAGAAAGTGTACAGGGCTGGAGCCCATCTCCCTATGCCTCTGGCCTCAACCTACAATCCAAAAAAAAAATACAGGATTTGGGCTTATGTGCCAACTGTTTCCTTGTTTCTTGAACAAGACTCAGGGGAGACTATGATGCTGAAGACAAAGGCATCACTGCCCTCTGCTCAGTCTCAGGGGATAAGATGAGCCCTTCTGGATCACAGCAAATTGGATTCATCTAGTCCAGTATCCTTCTTCCCACAATAACCAACAAGATACCTCCAGAAACCCAACCAGCAGGATATGAACAGGGCATGGAAAGAACACAGTTGGGAGCCTAGTCACTGACTATTCAGGGCCATAAAACAGATGAATTTGGTCATCACATCTGGCCAAGATGGCTAACAGCCTTTGATAGACCTGTCCAATTAAGACACTTTCCCAAACAGATCACTGCTTAGACCAATGGGAAGGCATCATGAGAGGAAAAGGAATTTGTCCCACATCGGGAAAGAGTGTGCTGTCACACTGTGAGACTACTATAGCTAAAACCTTCAGCTGAGACTTGGAAGGAACTGAAACTACTTACGTCACTGCCACTACACAACACCATCTCAGGATATGAAAGGGAAATCTGCTCCTTAGCACAGGGTCTTGGTAAGCTGTTGTCCAGCTTGCACAAAGCATCTTTTCCTGATCCAGAAGGGAATTGATCCACAGGCACGTATGCATACAGGAGGCAGCTAAAAAGGAGAGGAACAACTTTTTTCTCCCTCCACAAGCATACTTGGAAGAAATAAAGAACTGTATTCTCTCTGAAAGCCTTTACACACTAGAATGGGATGGGGGGTTTGGCAGGGAAGGGGATTGAGGACAACACCTCATTGGGGCTAATTTCTTGGGTGTCACATTGAAGCGGGTGTAAGGGGCTGCCACCAGCAGTGAGCATGCTAAGAATCAAGAGAGGATGAAGCCACTCCTGTTTCTTACTGTCTGCCACTTCTTCTCTCTCTTCTTCCAATACCCTTTCCCACCCTCTGATAATTTGGAGGGGAAGTGGCTAAATACAACACATTTTCTGATTAAGTAAAGGGGTGGACATTAAAAACCAGAACAGGGGGGCAGCCAAAGAGATACACTGGCGAGACCCTCTTTTATCCTTTCCCAAAGCCAGTAAGAGATGGTTTGGTACAGCAGATAAGAGTGATGGGCTAGAATTCAAGAAACCTGGGTTCAAATCTGTACTTGACTATGGAAACTCACTAGGGGGTGGCAATAGTAAAGCACTCTTTGAACATCTCACATACCTCAAAAACCCTATTAGGGTTAACATAGTTTGGAGGTGACTTGAAAGCACATAACAATGACAAAAATCTCAGAGCTACTAGGGAAATTGCGAGTGCCTCCACTTGACATACAACAAAAAGGTTGTAATCCTGCACATGGTTAACATTACTACTTCTAGCTGTCCTCGATCACAGAGATGAAGCAGCTAGGACAGTGGTTCCCAATGTTGGATAACCCGGGTGTTCTTGGACTGCAACTCCCAGAAACCCCAGTCGGCACAGCCGGCGGTGAAGGCTTCTGGGAATTGCAGTCTGAGAACACTTCAGTTACTCAAAGTTAGGAACAATTGAGCTAGAAAGCTCTGCAATTCATTATTTCTGAAATCCAACAGTGGAAGCCACAATGAAGACCAACAGAAGCTGGTACGCTACACTCCTCATGTTTTAGGTCGGCATGCTTTATCATTTAAGTACAAGGGCAGTACTTCTATGGCAAAGATGTGAATGTAAACCTTACTTTTGATTGGCTTGTTCAGCAGTTGGACTATAGGTGCAAGGATCTGAGACTTTTAGCTGCAATATAGGAGCCTCATAGTATGAGCTGGGCAGCAGAACGAGGTAATCCTGGAATGAAGAAAGTGGGGGGAGGGAGAGATTAGCTTATCTTGGTTTTATTCTGAGTAAAGCCAGGGAAAGCGCAACAACCATCCTTACCAGAAGAACATCCTCAGCTTCAATTATGAATGACCACATATGAGGGCTCAGCACAAATGGCTCACCAAACCTATTCTGAGGAACAGTCACAAAAGCTGGCTCTTTTGTTGGCGCAAATACAATTTGCTTAGTTTGTTCTGTGCCTAAAAGACAAAGAAAGAAAGAAAAAGAAAAATCAGCTTTCAGGCTGAAGTTTTGAAGCTGTGCTGGATTTCAAGCTTGTATATCAGACAGGAAGTCACAAAAGCCAAATGGAGGCCCAGGTCCAATGCAATTCTCTATGGTTATAGCCACACAAAGTAGAAACGTGTGTGGTATGCCGCATCATCAGTTTTGGAGCATTCACTGTTGGCTTTCAGAATCTGTCTCGCTCTCTGTTGACTTCTCCCATTTTTCACATCCTTGGGATTCCATCAGCAAATCACAGCCCCAATATGTGATAGCCAAGTGGACTCAGCCAGCTTCAAAAACACAACAAACCTTTGCCAAACAAAGCATGTGTATTTCTTTTTATGATATGAATAAATCAACACCAAATCAAATCCTTGTAACCAGTCTTTACTATACACCAACAAACAGATTAGATTAGATTAGGCATCTTTCAGTCTCAAGAGACTATGGTATCGTGCTCTGTGTGGAGGTCTTGGAACAGCGTCTAGTGTGACTGAGAAGGCCAATTCGAGAGTGACAATCCCTTCCACACTGAGTACTCTTGTGCCTCAACATTTTAGTGGTCCATGAGGGACACTGATGGAGCTTCACTGGCTCTATGTACCTCAATAAGCAGTTTCAGTAACTGATTAGCGATGATCAATCTGAACTACAGAATGAACAATAGGTCCCATGATTTGGCTCTCCAATGCTGGATTTTAGCACTGCTGCTGGCAAAAGCTGCATAAAAAACCCCGCATCTACAGTTTAGAGCACTGGTTCTTAACCTTGGGTTACTCAGGAATTTTGGACTGCAACTCCCAGAAGCCTTCACCACCAACTGTGCTGGCTGGGGTTTCTGGGAGTTGCAGTTCAAAAACATCCCAGTAACAAAGGTTAAGAACCACTGGTTTAGAGGAACCGACCGCAGGTTGGACAAGCCTGATTTAGAGGAACCGCTGGGTAAATTTTCCAGACACCATACCAGCTTCCATTTTGAATCAACAGAGCTGCAAATCTGCACCAGTGGAGAAAGCAATTACACTGCCAACAAAGGAACATGCAATTCATAAGAGAAAAGGACATTTCTTCCTGGAGGAAAGGTTTCTACTGCCAAAGATTAAAGCTCAAAGGGTATTTGCATTTTGTTCTGGTGTCAGTATGAATCCATATCCTTAAGTGAGCTGATGAAACAGATGTGTCATATTTTATGCAAAACACAATTCTGCCCTATTTACATGTATTGTGCATTTGCAAATAAACAATTGTTTGTGGCTAAAACTATGTAGGACTAAAACTATACAACACTTCTACAAGCTATGAAAGGAAGATGGAAATTCCTTCCTAACTTCTTTGGAAGGAAAAGCACAGGATTAAAACAATGTGTTCCTTGCATTTCAAGCATCCACTTGCATCAGATAGTATTTGCAATGTTGCTTTTTAAAATATCTTATTCAAAGATATTAGAGACAGAGAACATTATAATGATACATCACCTCTTAAGAATGCACTTCCAAGAAATAACTAGAAATAGTTTCAAGAAAAATGTAATTTTGCCTTGTAAAATTACAACGTAACTCAAAATCACAAAGTAACAAGATAAAACTACACAGAAACAACATAACTTTCACATCTTTTGGCCAAAACATCCCATGGAAGTGGCATCATCCCCATTACAACTGCCACATCACTCCAAATCCATTTCTAAATGACTTCCCATATACAGTTGTGCCTCGCTTAGCGATTGCCTCGTTTAACGATGTATTCGCTTAGCGATGAGGTTTTTGGAGCGACTCTGCACTCCATTTAGCGATGTTCCCTATGGGGAAATTTCGCATAGCAATGTTCGGGACCTTGCCTCGCTTAGCGATGACAGTTTAGGTCCCCTGTTTCGCTTAGCGATGTTCCATTTTCGCTAATTTAAAAGTGTCTTAAAATGTTCAAAAACTGTTTTAAATGCTTGGGACTGTTAGTGCACCTTGTTTTAAATGCTTAGGACCGTTAGTGCACCTTGTAAAACCAGCTGTCGAACCTACAGTTCAATGCATTCCAATGGGGGAGAAAAAAATTCACCAAAAATTAACGAAGAGTCAAAACAAAGCCAAATTAAGTTTGCAAAGGTTTTACAAGGTGCACTAACGGTCCCAAGCATTTAAAACAGTTTTTTAACATTTTAAGACACTTTAAAAATAGCAAAAACGGACATCGCCAAACCATTGGAATGCACTGAATAGGCTTCAATGCATTCCAATGGGGGAAACATTGTTTTGCTTAGCAATGTTTCCTATGCGATTTTGCTTAAGGACAGTAATCTGTTCCCATTGGAACGGATTAACCAGTTTTCAATGCATTCCTATGGGAAGTGGTGTTTCGCTTAGCGATGTTCTCCCATAGCAATGTTTTTTTGGGAACCAATTAACATCGTTAAGCGAGGCACCACTGTATACCAGTAGAGCCTTAACTGGAAGCTTTTCCATCCACCCCATCTCCTAGCAAACAGAAGTAAAAAATATATATTCTACATATACGTACAATAAATGCTTGCTGAAATAAGTAGAAATGGTTTGCGGAGGATTAAACATTCAAGTGATTTGCAGAGACTTACCGTATTTTTCACTCCATAAGACACACTTCCCCCCCCCCAAAAAAAGTGTGTGGGGGAAGTGTTTGCGTCTTATGGGGCCAATACTGTTAAAAATGGTGCAATATGTGGACATATGCGGCTGGGCTCTATATTCATTAGTAGTGCTGACACTACAGGGCATCCGTAGCAGCCCTATAGGACCAGCGCCGCATACTGGACAGCCGGATCACATGACCAACCAGACATCGGGAGAAGCAGAGAGAGAGAGGAGAGTGCCGTGGAGGAAGGGAGAAGACTCGTCCAGGTACCGTAAGTAACAGATAACATAATACAGAGGAATTCCTGGCTGGTGACATTAAGGGGCAAATATTTATTTATTTATTTATTTATTTATTTATTTATTTATTTATTTATTTATTTATTTAACTTATATGCCGCCCACACTACCCGAAGGTCTCTGGGCGGCTTACAACATTTAAAATATAATAAAAAGGCAAAATAAAAGGGAAAAATAATTAAAATGCAATTAAAAATATATATTCTAAAAATTGCTATGGGACCCACAGCTGATATTATTTCAATTAAAAGCCTTTTGGAACAGGAAGGTTTTGACCTGGCGCTGAAATGTCATCAGCGTCGGCGCCAGACGAATCTCAGTTGGGAGGGCATTCCATAGTCTGACATATGGATGGCAGTATCAATTAAGGGGCACAATACGGATGACAATATGTGCATCTTATGGTCAGGTGCGTCTTATAGAGCCAAAAATATGGTAATTAGCAGAAAAGGGAAGAATACAAAGAAATCAGAGCATTAACTAGTCTTTCTGATACGCCCATAAAAGCTAATGAGACCATTTTCTTACAGTACAATTCTATCCACATTCATCCAGAATCTCCTTGATTTCAATGAAGCTTTCTCCTTATCATTGTCACAGGACTGTCTGCATTGCACCTGAATTGCATTACAGAGCAGCTTAAGCTGTAGAACACAATACAACAAGTTGTCTTCAGGGAACAGTTCAATGGTGGAAGGGATGGGAATACTGAGATTCTTACCTCTCCTCCGTGGCTGAGAAGCTGTGATTTTGCCATATGCAGTTGCATCTCCTGAATTAATATATCTGATGATGACATGGAAGAGATAAAGTTCCTCTTCTCTCACAGGCACTGTGACTTTGACTTTGTTCTGCAAAAGGGAAAAAAAAACACATTGGGTGCCTATCACTGCAGGGAAGAAGGCTCTAAGCCTGTTACCTGCCCTGCCTTTCTATCTATCTGTCAGCCTATCTAGACATCTTCCCCTTTGCAACTGCCAGTGTTCTCCAGGGCAAACTTTTGGAGGAGATATAACATCTATTTTACATGGGTGGCAGTGGCTTTTGGAGAGGGAGGACGAAATGCTCTCTTGCAGAAAAGCGAAGTCTGAGGCCTTTATGGATCGATTTTGGAAGGGGGTTAGTCTAGAAGTGAAAAATGCACTTACAGTTGCCACAAACATTAAACTTTCCTTCCTCAAGGACTGAGACCCTCCCTTCCACATTTGCAGGCCCCCGGCTGATGCAGCGGAAGACGAGGCGGAACAGGTCAGGGGAGGTCACACTGAGGGTCACCACTACCTTGGGCTGGTGGGAGAGAAAGGGGAGAGAAGCAGAGCACACCTTAAATAACCTCCACCATCACCTGCCACCAGCCACCAGCTCAAGCACAGCACCCCCAGATTCCTGCTTCCCAAAAGCAGCATGCCAAAAGCAGACAAGGAATCAAGCCAGCCCCATCATCCTGGTACAGAACGGCTGAGGAGCTTGGAAGGGTACCTTAGAAATACTGTACCTTCACCTAGGTCATCTAAGCTAGCCTCACCAAAAAGCCGCCATATGCAGTCAAGTTCCATAGGGAAAGGAAATAAAGATGCCAAGAGAAGGAAGTGATGCAGAACCTGGCTAAAATCCTGTATTTTGCTCTGGGTACCAGCCACATTTTGTATAAAATAAGTTTGACAGTCTCTACTGTTGAGGATTATAGGGGACCACCAGGTTCAAAGACAGTATGCTTCTCCATACCAACTGTCAGACAGCTGTTGCTTCTTACCCTGCTTGCAGGCTTCCCAGAGTTATCTGGATAAAAATGTGGGGGAAAGAGCAAAATGGGCTAGGTCTGGTTCATCAGGGCTCTTCTTACTCCTAGTAAAGGTTGCTTTCAAAATTGCAAGTTAGAATCAGAGGTGGAAAAGTTTGCTGTTGTAGATTAAAGATCTCATAACCCCACAGTCAGCGTGGCCTGTGGCCATAATGACTTCAGAATTCCTGAAGCTGGAATCCACAGATAACTTTTCCAAGTTCTGATTGGAACTGAGGATGTGCTGGCCATAATGACTTCAGAATTCCTGAAGCTGCAATCCACAGATAACTGATTGGAACTGAGGATGTGCTAGAGGAGTATGTGTTATGATATCAGTGAGTGAAATATCTTAAACAAAAAAACTGCTTCAAGATAGATTTGGAAATGATTCATTTCTAAAGGAAGCTCTACTTTTTCTGGAAGCAGATAGACACAGAATTCCTTCAACCTCAATAATTATCAACACAGAAGAGACCTGTGGAACCACACTTTTCTTAACATTCTTGAACGTAGTTCTGTTTTGAAAAGAGCCAGACCACTCAGTGATATTTAATCGTAGATAAATATTCAAACAACAGGAACAAATAACGGTTGATCATTAGAAATTATGGGCACCTATGAATCCAAAATTTAGTTTGCTTTAAAATACACAAACATTTCTGCTTATTTCTTGATTTTAAAAATGGTATGCTTTGGGGATTAATCAGTCGCCTAAGCTGATTAGAAAATGTAGGTGCATGGAATGGAATTTGTCCGTGCCGATGTACTGTACTGGCATTCAAAATCTATGCAAATCAAGTTACCACAGGGAAACAAAATAGAGACTAATCATTGTGTTCCAGTTCATTAATCATCTCCTTCTGAAATAGAGACTAATCATTGTGTTCCAGTTCAAGCTACATTCATAAATCATCTCCTCCTGAAAGCAGCCAAAGACCTTTCTCTACAGATGAACTTTCTTCCAGTGATTGCCTACATGAGTGACTGGCCACATGACTGGCTACGTGAGTAACTTTTAGATGGATTGCTATGCATTGCTGCTCTGACCAGGTCTTTAGTGCTGTTTGTATTTACCATCTCTCAGAGTGGTACTTGTTGGTTCCTTTTTAGTTTTTGCATTGATGTAGCTTCAATACTGCCTTTTAATGAAGTAAGCTGCCGCTTTAAACTCACTGTACTTAGCTTTAAATATTGTCTTTCAAGGGTGTAAGCCGCCTTTGGTCTTTTTTAAGGAGAAAGGCGCGATAAAATTTTTATAAATAAATGAATAAATAACCTCCCTACCTCTTAGAAAGTTGCTGGTTTCACCAACAGAGAAACAGAAAGGCCCTGCCTTCTGAAGTTCATTTGTATCTTTAAAACTGTGGACTGGACACTTGTTTTGGGTCTCCAGATATTAAGCATTAAGAGTTGAAAAACAGTAGCAGCTCAGAGAACTTAAAAGAATTCTGCTAACCATAACCCCTCCAAATCTACAGAGAATAAGGATAGTTAGGGTCTTAGACATTCTTGCAACCACTGCATTGGCCAACAATAACCAAGCAAAGAAAACCTTTACTTTAAGAAACCTTTCATGCTGAACAAAAGCCATACAGCAGAACTCCTACAGAACTGCACGGACCACACACATACATACTTTCTCTCTCTAGTCTCTTCAGACTTCAGAGAGGAAATCTATCTACAGGGAATAAGCACAGCAGATGCTACAAGCTCAGTCCAGTTATTCAGCCACATGAGGTCATGATCAAAATCAGCTAGCCCCTTCAACAGACAAAAGAGCAACTAATGGCACATGCTGCACAGAAAAGTTTGAGCCTTTTCCCCCCTCTTCTTTTTGAGGATCAGGGAGATGTTATGTAGAGTTGCAAGAAGGAGAGAGGAAGTAGGTGAATATCTGCTTAGGAGACCTGTTTGCATTGTTTTCATTTCTTTTAAAAATAACCCTGACAATTTATTACCTAGCTCCTGCCTAGCTACTCTTTCTTAGATGAATGTGGTGTACAATAAAGAAGAGTTTCCAGGTCTGGTACCTTATCTCTCACTCAGCTGTTCTTTTCCTCACCCTAGAGAACACATTCGCACAAAGAGGTGGCTGTTGTAGACAAATATATACCCAACTGTAGAAGAGGCACTGTTTGGCTTTTTTTTACTTTGGGAAAGCTTCTTATGGTGAAAATGCGTAGGAGAGCCTTCACTTTCAAAGCCACTTCACTGTTAAATGTTTTCAACACAAAGAGTACTTCAATGTGGATGAAAACACAAAAATGCATCTAGTACATATGAGGAAGTGCTGCAGCGGACTGTAGTACCAGCCTCAGCACTTGCAGCAATATAATAATGTTATGATTGTTACGTGTAATAATCTATACATGAGGTTTATTGTTTTTGATAAATGGAAGTGTTGTGCTAGTAAGAAATTCGTAGAAAGACCTACCTGAATGGAAGACATCTGTGCATATCCTCTCCAGCTGAAATTCTCAAATTCCAAAGGATTGTAGCCAAAGCGAACAGGTCTCCCATCCAGCGTAGTACCCTCTTCCAGCTCATACTTTAAGTGATGAAGGTCAGGGATATAATGATCTCTTGCTGGCCTACAGACAAAAAAGTGAAACACACATTTATCAGCTTTTGTGCACACTGCAAACAAGTGTACAGTAGTAGCAAAGTTAGCTTGATCATACTTATGATCAGCTACGTAAAAGGAACCTCTTTCTAGCAGGTATTCCAAACACTCATCATCATGATCTGTTTACCTTCCTGCTAAGAAAACCTCTGTTCCCTATCCAGAACAATTAAACAAATGATAAGGAGCGCTGCAAGATTTACTTCAAATGTCTACTTTTCAGGCAAAATTTGAAAAATCTTGAAAGGACCAGTGAAGGGAAAAGAACTTGATAGAGATAGCTTCCTATTCTTGTTTGTCCTGAGTACAGTATCTAAGTTAGAGAGGCAAATTTACAGCTGAACAGAAATGTCCTTCCCAAATCAGCTCACTCAATGAATGAGGGATATATTAACAATGACCTCTCTTAAAAAAATAATCAAGAAGTTCAGGGGCCTTATCATCTTTGTTCCCTCAGAATGTTTCAGAAGTGTGCTACAACGTGCTAAAGGGGGAGGAGAACAGGATGACCAGGCAGAGGAAATCTGTTGCTTCATAAAATACTGCTGAAATACTAGAACATGGGGGGAAACATCAAAATCACTGAAATGCTAGTGGCCCTATAAGAAAACCACCACCCACCCACCCTTTGTGAAGACACTATCTCAATAATTTGGTCACTTTTTGAGGAGTTCATCCCTTCTAAATTCTCTTTAGAGAATATTCATTTAAATACGCTACACAGCCCCTATTATCGAGGCTATTAAATCTTTTTAGCTGCAATAATGAAGCCATTTTTCGTGACTGCATTTAATCTTTTTTTTTTAAATCTATAGCAGATTTTGCCACACATTATACCTATTTTCAATGCTAATCTGGGCTCACTTTTAATGAGGAGTGGAGACTGGAGATTGAGTCTTATTTTAAATCCTCTTTGAAAATGATCCTTAGCTAAAATTAATCATAGTTAAAGCAGACTATCAAGACAATTACTGTATAATTAGAGCCAGATATGGAAAGCAGGGAAGATTTATAAACCAGGGAGGAAACAATCTCATGGTATCCTTACTTTTAAGAGAGGAAACAATCCCAACACATTCTTACTTTGAACAGGATAAACAGATGGGAAGTGTGTCCTTCATTAATTAATTCTGTGCTCTCAAATCAATATTGACTAACGGCAGGCCTTCCTTGAGCCTTTCACATACAGAGTACTTAGAAGTGATTTATCATTTCCTTCTTCTGGGACCATTTAGCTTATCCACTGCCACACAAGCTGGGTCCTCCTGGGAGGAATCAGACTCCTAACTAGAGATGGAGATATATACGAATACCCCCACACAGGTGGACACTCACCCTTCCACTGTTGCAGCCAGCTCCGCACTCCCTTCCAGCTGCTCCAGAACTCGCAATCGACTAACCACTCTTGGCAGAAAGAGGGAAGACGAGACTCCCTACCAGGCTGATGAGTGGCTAGTCGACCGTGAGCTCTGGAACGATTGGAAGGGAGTGACCAGCAGCAGATGGATGAGTGGATACCCCCATCTCTACTCCTAACTTCTAGCTGATCTATCCAGGCAGCTACAGGTATTATATTCTAGAAGATCTGCTGTGATTTGATGGGTATATATATGGAGTCCAGCTATTCCTCATGATATGGGTGCCATGAAGTGTTTGCAGGGATGTGAGGGTCCTCTTTGCACAAAGGCAGAATGTACCCTATTTCCCCGAAAATAAGACCTAACCTGAAAATAAGCCCTAGTATGATTTTTCAGGATGCTCGTAATATAAACCCTACCCCAAAACAAAAATAAGCCCCAGTGAAGTGAAACCCTGCCCTCCATCATTGTGCAGCAACCAGAAGAAGATGACATGACTGTATTTGAATAAATGTAGATTTAGATGACATGACTGTATTTGAATAAATGTAGATTGTTGTACATTAAAAAAATTAAAACATCCCCTGAATATAAGCCCTAATGTGCTTTTGGAGCAAAAATCTATATAGGACCCTGTCTTATTTTTGGGGAAACATGGTATGCAGTGTAGACGTTGGTCTAGATGGGCAAAACAAAACAAAACAAAACAAAACGAAACATGCATTCTCAGGAGTGAAGGAGGCTTTTCCACAACCCCTTATTTTACCTATCCCCAATGAAAGCACTACCCATTTATCTGGAAGAAAGTCAAAAGGTGGTCTCAGCCACTGAATGAAGGTAGCTTCTGCCTGCATATCTCCATTATAAGTTCATTTTCTTCCTTCCACTGGTGAACTGCAGAAAAGTGACAACTCCTTTTATTAGAATTATCATTCTGTTAAAGAAATACGTTCTTTGGTTTGACCTGAAACTACTGCTAAACAAGCCCCAATCTGTACCATTGAGACATGAGGATAAAGTGAGTCGGGAATTTTGTCTTAACTGTTCTCTGTATGTTGTTCACAGTTTTGCAACCTGTAACATGACATATTTTTTTAAAAAAACTAAATCTCCATACATGCAGAATTACATACACAAGTAAATAACAAATCTACAGCATTCAAAATCTTCCCCCTCAGACTTTTGTCAAGGTTGTTCCCCAAACACCCCCTTCACATTCTCCATCCAACTTTTTGTACACTGAAAGTTAGAGTCAGATTTGGTATGTTTACATCCCCGAATGTAACATGGCGTCATGGCTGTTGCCTGCTACTTACTGAGTGCAGGTGAGGCCTTGCGTGTTCAGTCTGCAGTGACAGGATCCTGTCTTCTCTTCACACACAGGCCCAATCGACCCACCAATGTCACAGTGGCATCCTGCAGGCAGGAAGCACATGTTTACATTCCAGAGTTGAAAACGGGCCCCAAATAGCATTCATCAAAGCCTGGCACTGAAGGGATTGGCAGTAGCTTGGCATCCTATTTTTATTCTGTTGTATTTGCTTTCATATAGGGTTGCGGCCCTGCCCAAATCCGTTTCCATCATCTTCCAGTTCTATTCCAGAAACCGTGCCTGCTGTTTCCCACTTGCTACTAAACAAAGACCTGTGCAAACAGCCCAAAGGATACAGCCTTGTATAGTTAATAAAAATAGGCGGCAGTGGATGTTCTTGGTCTTTTGCGTACCACAAACATACAGATGAAGGACAACAATCCACTGAAGGCTATATCTAGCCAATTTTAGTACACTTTGTTCTGTACCCTCCTAACGTGCTCTTCTGTGATCTGAACTCTTCGTCCAGAATGAAGTTCCTCATTTAAGCAGCTACCATGTTCAATGCTATGTCTCTTAGCAAGGACATAAGGATCAACACATCTTACATAGTTACTTATCTGGACTTTCCCTTTTATCTCATCCCTTTCACCTTTTTTTAAAAAAATTGCTTTTTAAAACCTCCACTTATTCGTACATCAGACTTATCACTGAATCATAGAATAATGGAGCTGATAAGGCCACTGTGTCCAACACCTTGCTCAATGCAGGAATCAAACAAGTCTTCTTAAACAGAGATTTGATTTCCATGTTTATTTCTTTGATCTGACAAGGCATTTGACTTCTTTACTTCATCGTTCTTTAAAAAGTACTCTCCAAGACCACCCTCCTAATTCAAATTCTGCATAAGCTAAGGTGGTTTCAAAAGAGGGGGGATAGAATTACATAATTTCAGTGCACAAATCTAGCAATGATTGGAAGGGAAAGGAAAAAAGTATGTCTAAGCTCAACCGAAATGTAAAGAATCATCTGGTTTTCCTGGGCAGAAGTCAGATAGTCAGATAAAGTAACCCTTAGTGTCCCTTCTAGTTCCTCAATTTTATGAATCTATAATGCAAAAAACAACAACAATGATTTCAGCTTTGCTACATTTGAAATCATAAGTGAAATCATTAAGAATCCTTACAGAGCCTTATGTACGTCTCTTTTTCTACTCTATATGGGGAAACAATCCCACAGCTGTCATCATAAAAATCCTCCACTTATTCGTACATCAGACTTATCATAAAATCATAGAATAATGGAGTTGATAAGGCCACTGTAGTTCCTCAAATCTATAATGCACAAAACAGCAATGGCTGCAGCTTTGCTACATTTGCAATCATTAATGAAATCATTAAGGATTCTTACAGAGCCTTAAGTGCATCTCTTTTTCTACTCTATTTGGGGAAACAATCCCACAGCTCTCATAAAAATTCCAAAGTCCTCATATTTGCAACTGAACTGCACTAACAAAGGGTTATTATTCCCCAGCTCTGACTAACAGCAATGATGATTTACATTCCCCACCTAATAATTGGCACTATCACCTCGTAGAGAACAAAAATTGGACGTACCTTGACAGCCAAAATAATTCCCACTCTCCATGTTATAGTATCCTTCTTTGCATGTTGAACAAAACTGGCCACAGGTGTTTGCCTTGCAGAAACAGTGCCCATTGTCCTACAAGATACCAACCGTGCAGTTAACTGGTAGAATCTGGTCAGTATTAACCAAGCCAACTGCCATGACTGGATTCATTTACTGATTTATTTATGCACATAAAAAGGATGAGCAGCACAAGAAGAAGACACAGACTATAAACTACAGAGGAAGTTGGTTTATCCTATAAAAATATGTCAAGCACTGAAATCTCTGTTCATGCATCCAAAGGGGTTATCTGAAATTTCTGTTCTACCCCTGATCTTGACAGATGCATCTGAAAACATAAGGTTACTTACTCAAATCCAAAAACGTCCATGGAGAAATAAAACGGTGCCAGAATAATATTAATGCATCCAAAATGTTGCTTCTCATTTGATGTCTTTTCCGAAACACGCTTGATTTTAAACAGACTACTCCAGCTGGGAGGGTGCTACTCAAGGTAAACAGGTATGAAGGTCCAGGCAGAAGATGACAGTAGATTTCTCACATCAGGAAACTTACCTGCTGGCATTCAGCGACACCTGCAATGGTTCCCATGGTGTCACACTGGCAGCCTGAGGGAAACAGAACGCACCAGTCAATGGCTCAGTCTGATCAGCTAATAACTTAAATGTCTAGGTTAGCCTGCTGCCTAGATTAAGTTTCTGGAAGGATGGGTGAAGGTGACAGGCACAAAGAGAAGACATAGTCAAGGGTGTAAATTCCTCCTCTTCTCTGCAGGTGCGAATAAGACATTCTACTGCATTTTGTCTGCACTGCACGGGTATTAAAAGGAACTCAGAAAAACATACTTTCTTGGACTACAAGTCCTAAAGCTCCTCAGCCAAAGAAGTAACTTTATCAAGCTCTGGTTTCAAGACACAGGGAGCTGGTCTACACTGTAAAATGTCATTTTTAGCTATGGAACTGAATACAGTTGGTAGCCCCTGGAAACATAGAAACAGATCAATTTCATCCCTGCTCCTTAAGATAGAAACTGGGGTGTCTTACATCCAGAGCATATACCCCTTAATGAGATGATTCAGTCTTTGGTTCTGTTTAATATTAAAGCTCTCCAAAGAAACAACCATGCTGTTTGTCCGTGATCAATACCAAACCCCTATGGGGTTGTTCTTTTTCTGCAATCTACCGTATTTTTTCCGTGTATAAGACACCCCCATGTATAAGACATTCCCACTTTTCTAATCCAAAATTAAGAAATCTAAGTGGGGCTTAGCAAGTGTAGGGGGAAAGGGATCAAAGCGCTGCAGGATCGGTTTGATCTCTGTTTTCCACTCCAATTATTTTTGTTATTTCCTCAGCTTACTTCCATGTTTAAGACAGCCCTCAATTTTTCGTCTAAAGATTTTAGACAAAAGTATAGTCTTATACACAGAAAGATTTAGATGGATGAAGAGAAGAAATGGATGCCACTTTCTCCTTAGTTATTAGGAGAATGCTCAGGGGTAAAGGTATTTTGTGGCTTCTGGAAGAATTACAGGGAACCTTTCTTACTCATGCATCCAAAGGGGTTATCTGGAGTCATATTCCAGTAGAGTGGTTTGCATCGATCACAAGCTTCACCTTCTACATATGCCCGACATTCGCAGGAATCCTGAGAAGAAAAAAAATGCAGCCAGGAGAAGGAGCCATAAGTGTATGTACCAAAGAAGCCAAGAAACTAAAAGGTCAAGCAGAATCGAAGGCAACTGGAACACATGAAGCTGCCTTAAATCAGATCAAATTTATTCTTACTGTCTGTTGCTTCAATGATCAACAGTTATCTAAGGTCTCAGGCACAGGCATGCGTGGACTCTTACTGTCTGTTGCTTCAATGATCAACATTTATCTAGGGTCTCAGGCACAGGCATGCGCGGACTACCCATAGTGTGATTCACAGAAGCCACAAAGAAGAACAATGCAGAACACTTACGCAAAGGAGGCGTGTGTTCTAGCCCTGTGATTCACAGAAGCCACAAAGAAGAACAATGTAGAACACTTACGCAAAGGAGGGGTGTGTTCTAGCCCCAGCCCCCCAGTCATCACTTCTATTGTCCTGCTGCACATGCAGGACAAGATAGATGATGAATGGCCTCTGCTACCAGCAGGGGCTACTTCTGTGAGCCAGCACCCTGGAAAATCAGGTCCCCATTCACATGGAGAATATCCAAGCACCCTGGAAAATCAGGTCCCCATTCACGCGGAGAATATCCACTAATTTTCTCTCTCTCTCTCTCCAGTTCTGTAACCCTAAATGTGTAAGAGTGTAATAATTCCAGGGATCAAGGGGCCACAGTGAGAGTGTTTCCCTGTCCGTGAGAGTGTTCAATACAGTTTCTAACACCTGAACATCACTGCTCTGCGATAAGCAAGAATCAAGAAAAAAAGTCAACAGCTCTAGAACATACTCACCATTGGCAGAGAAGGATCTTCACTTGCAAGTCCGGCAGGGTTACAAGAACCCACTGGAAAAGAAAGGTACGTATAAGCGCGCACACTCTGCAACATACATGCACAAAAAATAGGTGTTTTAACTTCTACTATATGTTTGCTAAAATGGTTAATATATCATAAAAACTGGACTATAATAAAAACACTCCAAAGCAGCACCTAAAACAGAGAAAAAAAATCTGCTGCTGTTGTTTTCTTATTCAGTCGTTAAGTCATGTCCAACTCTTCATGACCCCATGGACCAAAGCATGCCAGGCCCTCCTGTCTTCCACTGCCTCCTGGAGTTGGGTCAAAGTCATGTTGGTCGCTTCGATGACACTGTCCAACCATCTCATCCTCTGTCATCCCCTTCTCCTTTTGCCCTCATACTTTCCCAACATCAGGTTCTTTCCCAGGGAGTCTTCTCTTATGAGATGGCCAAAGTATTGGAGCCTCAGCTTCAGGATCTGTCCTTCCAGTGAGCACTCAGGGTTGATTTCTTTTAAAATGGATAGGTTTGTTCTCTTTGCAGTCCAAGGGATTCTCAAAGAGTCGCCTTCAGCACCACAATTCAAAAGCAGCAGTTCGATGGTCAGCCCTCTTTATGATCCAGCTCTCACTTCCATACATAGCTACTAGAAAAACCATAGCTTTGACTATGCATAGCTTTGTTACTAAGGTGATGTCTCTGCTTTTTAAGATGCTGTCTAGGTTTGTCATAGCTTTCCTCCCGAGAAGCAGGCGGGAGGAACAAGTCTTTTAAACTTGTGGCTGCTGTCACCATCTGCAGTGATCATGGAGCCCAGGAAAAGAAAATCTGTTACTGCCTTCATATCTTACCCTTCTATTTCACAGGAGGTGATGGGACCAGTGGACATGATCTTAGTTCCGGCAATGTTAATTCCAGCTTGGGATTCCTCCAGTCCTGCCTTTCTCATGATGTATTCTGCGTATAAGTTAAATAAGTAGGGAGACCTTGTTGTTCTCCTTTTCCAATTTTGAACCAATCAGTTGTTCCATATCCAGTTCTAACTGTTGCTTCCTGTCCCACATATAGATTTCTC